TGACGTACATTGAGTTTTTCTGCTTATCCAGCAAGACAATGTCTGGGTTATTCGCCTGAAGACGTGTTGTAGTAGGAAAAGCGTAGTTCCAATAGATGCGACAGTTATTATTTTCCACTACTCTCTCAATGTCCCCTGCAGCATAAGGCAGCACAGTGTTTCATCCATACCATAGACATGTCGCAGGTGTTAGTAAAGCACCCGAAGAGCCGCGTTGTGCCGGTAAATATAGCTTGAAACAGCATGCACAGGGCAAGCTGACAATAAGTGCATAAGTGTTTCGGGATGCTGGCGACAGGTTCTACATCTGACGTCGGCAACTTCAGAAAATTGACTACGGTATACCAGGGTATTGATTACTCCATCCTGACAAGCAATCAGGAAGCCTTCAGTCTCAGATTTTAGACCAGCAGACTTTAGAAAGGTGAAAGTCAGTCTTTTGGATAGCCTTAGATTTTGGACGTTTCTATAGAACACTCCGTGTTGCGGCTTGTTAAGATGGTCTTCAAAGAGCCCTTGTTCTTCTGCTCTCTTAATACGAGACTTTAGAACCTCAGGCTCCAGCCTACTAAGCGATTGTTCGTTATCGGTATCTAACGTGAATACTATATTTAATCTATCTGCCGCCTGTCCTGCTGCTCTAAAAAGAAATTCTCCGACATTGGCTGCTTCGTGATCTTTTATAAGTTTTAATAATGGATCCGTACTATTGATGATTTTGCAGGCCATTCTTAGTACCAGCCTGTCATACAGACACTCCAAGTTTAGAAGGCCTCTTCCACCCTGATCACGTGGGAGGTAAATTCGGGAAACCGACGAGCGTGGATGAATGCTGCGATTGAGATGCATCATCTTTCGTGTGCTCACGTCCAGTTCGCGCAACTCGTCACGCCTCCACTTCAACACTCCGAAGGAGTAAAGAAGAACTGGTACAGCAAGTGTATTAGTGGCAGTAACCTTATTTATACCGGAGAGCTCTGATTTCCATATTTGTCGGAGGCGCTGCCTATACTTGCTTCGAAGCGTTGTTTTAATCGTTTCTGTGTCTTGGGTACGATTTTGATCGACACCAAGGTATCGATATGCCTCACCTGCTTCGAGGTGGCGTAAAATTGCTCCATCGGCGAGTTGTTCATTTTCTGGATTGTTTCCATAACGGCCTTTCTCTAAGGTTAAAATTGCACATTTATCTAGACCAAACTCCATACCTATGTCTCTAGTATATTCTTGAACTACCTTTAGAGATTGCTGTAAGTCTCGCTGGCTTGTAGCGTAAAGCTTTAGATCGTCCATATAGAATAGGTGTGTCACTTTATGCATAAAGCTCATCGACCACATCTGCTCAGCATTTAGTAAAATTATAAAAGGAAATTATTTCTGGAAGCTTCTTATCTGTGTCATCAATGGTATCATCGTGATGCATGGAGGACAGCAAAAGAACGATTTTACCTTTTTTTGGGCAGTATGATAGAAGCGTATTTTCTTTTTGGAAACCAAACAGAGATGAAGATATCTCTCTTTGTTTCACGTTCAGAAATTCAGGTAGAGAGTCCCGACTGCAGTAAGTTTGTGCTTATGAGAAGATAATTCATAAGGTCTATACTGGTATACTAGTTATTAAACGTGATATTGCGTTTCGTTCCTGACGCAGGTGCCACTATATGATCCACTATATCCTTGGTCTGAACGGCCCTTTAGGTTACTGACCGACATAAACTTCCATATTCAAAAGATAGTAGGTTCTCGCATCTACCAATGCATACACCTTAATGCCATATTTTGCAGGTTTATTTGGCATGTATTGCCTAAAAGAGCATATACCGCGAAATGAGTCAAGTTTCTCATCTATCGTAAGATACTAAGAAGGAGTATAGACGTCTTGACTGTTAAGAATAAATTTATTACAAATGGCTATAATGTGTGCCAGCTTATCGAGTTTTAATCTCTCAGCACGATTGTTCTTATAGTCAAACCGCAAGCATGATACTAAGAATTCGAAGCGCCTCCTTACCATTGTACTGCGGAAGATATCCATTCCGGTTCCATCAGTTTTCCAAAGTTCATATAAATTTCGATGATTACTTTTGAACACTTCTGATAGAAAAAGAAGTCCAAAAACAGTTTAGAGTTCTGGAAGGATTGTAACGCCATAATGTGAAGAGCTTTTCCACTTTTCAGATTTCTCCAAGATTCTCAGATTTGTAGTTTGAACGATATCTGTGATAAGTTGTCAAAAAAAGCAAACAATACTCTTTTGGAGTTTTGGCTAATTTTTCCTAGCCTTTCACTCCTCTGAAAGATGTGTAATTATCTTTTCTGATCCGCTTATTTGAAGGATCTTCGAACCATTTGGTTCCATCTTTTCCTTGAAAGAAGCTACGCTCATTCATTCCAGTTTCTTCTTGGATATCGTCATCATGTTGTGCATCAGCAAGTTCCTCTTCCCCAACCTCAGGAATATCACCATCCTGTTCCATGTTAGGGTAGTCACTTCGGGTAGTCCTCTCGGTCTGAGTCATCTCTATCAATTGGTTCATCCTCTGCTTAAATATGTTTCCACAGAGCCCGAAGACGCTATTACTATAATCGCCCATAATTATTGCAAAGCCTGAAAATATTCATAAAACGGGCATAAATAAAGTCGTGAAAATGAAAAATGCCAACTTACCTCCAAAACTTGCGATGGAAGTGGAAAAATACACTATAACTACAACTGTAACTATTACGTGGGGTGTGACAAACCCAAACCCAAACTGTTTGAACTAATCTCGTCGACTGGTGCGGCATGTGGCATGTACGGCTTGCAGAGCTGGTGGAGAAAGGTGTAAACGGAAGCTACTTAGACGCTAAAGGCCAAACGCGGCAAATTTAAAAAAATCTTGCAATAAGAAGATGAATGGGGTGTGTGACGCCCCACGTGTCGGGCGCCAGATTAAGATCGAGCAAAACACGCAAAAAAAAAAAACATTACTAGCAGGGGAGCTTTTTAATTTTTAATTTATTTGTTGTCATAGCGACAACAGAAATACACATTCTGTGAAAATTTCAACTGTCTACTTCTGTATCTGTAACCTGTGGAGGATGGGTTACCCCCACGGCACTTAGGCCTCAGTAGGCCTTCTAAGATGATAGGCACTTCCTAGCTTGTGAGCCAGTCTACAGATTTATTGTAGTTGACAACGTCGCCAAGAGGTGCTTCTCTTATATCGGCCGGTGTTGGCCGATACTCGCCGAATACAAATCTTCTAATAAATGAGAGCGTCGAGCAATCGTAAAGGATATGCTCGATAATCTCATCTTCTTGTTCGCACCCTCTGCACAGTGCGGATTCTGACAGCCCCATGATATGAAGATGCTTCCTTACTTGGCAATGACCAGTCAGAATGCCTGTCACATATTTGTTTGCTGCAGTGTTGTCAGGATAACTTAAGAGCTCCCTGGCAAATCTGCAGTTTCTTGTTTCATTCCATCTTTCCTTGAATTGCACAAGAGAATTTTCTTTAATTAGGTCTGTTACTACCGATTTTGTCAGGCCAATAGAAGGGCCAGGTTCAAAAAGTATTTGTTTGGCTGCTTTCTTGGCTAGTGAATCAACAAGACTTTCGATGTGGCATGACCTTTGATCCGTTTTAAGATGACCACATTGTTGATGGCTACTTCGGCCAAAGCTTCGTGGCATTCTAGTACTAACCCTGAATAAATTCGTCGTATGTTCAGGGTGAGTAGTGCTTGACTGCTATCTGTATTATAGATGAGCATGTTCCTTCCAGCTGTCTACTTATTACGGATCATAAGATACAGACCGTTGACAGACGGACGGACGGCCAGCCGAGGCTTAGTAGTAGGGTTTCGTTAGATACTCTTCGAGTACGGAACCCCAAAAAGGTAGAACTAAAAAGGACTGAATTTGTACTAATCTGAATCACATTAAAATATAACATTTAAGATTGTGTACCCTTGCCGTTCCATATTTTGACAACATCGCGACGCCGGTTCAATTCCCCACGATGGAAGCAATCTTTTTTAATTTTATAATTTTGGAAAAATATGAAAATTGCAAAAATACGACCATTATTATTTATTTTAAATAGGTATATTTTATTTATCTTAATATAACATTTACAGTTATTATTTTCGTTAATCATCTTTAATAATAAAAATGTTTTTGTTCACGGTTGTTCATTTTATTATTTCTTGTATTTAAAAAAATTAACTAATGAAAACCTGATTTTACATTTTTTGATAAAATTATTTTGTGGTCGTAGGAAAAATATTGTACAGTTGTGTAAACGTGATTTAAAAACACTCGCAATGTATTACTTAGCAGATCTTAATAAAGTATTGTAATAAAACAATTTTTTTTATTAAATTATTCTTTTTTTATTTGATTATTTGGCTTTAAGAGCTATATTATTATTATTACACAAAAAGTCGAAAACTAAATCAAAACTAGGAATAAAACAATTCCCAATGATTACTGATCACAAACAAAACGCAAATACCTAGCAATACCTCTGCCCTTTGACGACACAACGAATGACAGAGAATGAATATGCCGATATCCGGAAGTCCCAAAAACTATTATTTACCTGCAAAAATTTCTGCAAGGTCAAGAATCTCGTTTCCTATCGCAGAGAGGGGAGAGGGACAGGATGCTAAAGTTATTTTTTTCACGTTTACGGTTTGACTGAAAATTGCCATGTCGATTACAAATCCAAACTGGATCGGATAAATAATAAATAGAATCAATTATTACGCCATCTGTTGAACAAACGAACTATTAAATATGGAATACTGATCCATCTGTTGAACAAAAGGATTCTTAAATACAAGACATAAATGACATCTATCAAAATTAGTTACTGTTACGAATATTGGAGTGTGCTACTGTGGCCTTAAAAACCCATTTTATTTATCTCAAAATAAACATATTGTGGCTTACATCTTAAAGTTTGTTTTTCTATTTAGTTTTCTCAAGATTAATCACCCGAGCATTTTAGGATGAAAACAGAACAATGGTTATTTTTCAATATAACAACAAAGAAGGAAAATGGGAATTTAAGGGGAAGATTAGACCGCATTATGGGGATATTACCGACATCTTGTATATACCAGTCAAAAAATGTTGGAAGCTCTACAGTATTGCTGCAGATCGCCACATAATCGAATATAATAATGATAAATTAGAGTAAGATACTGATAAAATAAGTATGTAACCGAAGTGATATACCCAAGCGTGCCCAAGTGATTTAACATAAAAGTTTTAAATTTAGAGAGGTTGAATTAGATATTTTTTGCATAGTTGATTATGATGGGCAGCTATTTTGCAAAATAACTTTTGCATATAGTGCGATCTTGAATTTATTTATGCAATGCTGGTCACATGACACATTCAAAAATGGTTAAAGTCCAATTTTAATGCATTTAATTTTAAGAGATAAAAGACAGTCAAAATATGTTTACATAACCTAAATATTGTTTGTTTCCAATAGAGGACTTCTATACAAGAGAAGTGCAACCAACTTAACAAAATAAAATTGACACTAATGCCATAAGAAATCGGGTCACATAAAGAGGCTGTTTTTTAGTTTACTTTTTCGTTTTTCTTACATACTTTTATGCCATTTACATACCATGTTGTGCCCGTAGGGTAAAAAGGTCTTTTTAGTTTAGGGTATTTTATATCTAAAGGTTGAAAACATTTGTCAGTGTCAGCTGTCAATTATTTTGTTGGTAGAACACAGGCGTAACCATAGATGGGCATAACGTAACTAGTATTGTATATGGTTGTATAGTGTATGGAACTTGTATTTGTAGCAGCAGCATTTTTGCATTTGACATAAATATATAAAACCAAATGAAAAACATGTTTAAAGAAACCAGGAAAAACACAAATAGACTATTAACAATAAAAAATAAATCGCAATGCTACGCTTATGTTTTGACATTACCGACAGCTGATATTGATAAATGTCTTCAACCTTTAAATATAAAATACCCTAAAATAAAAAGTCTTTTTTACGTTACGGGTACAATATGGTATGTAAAGGGCACAAAAGTAGATAAGAAAAACCAAAAATCGAACAAAAAACAGCCTCTTTATGTGACCCGATTTCTTATGTCATTAGTGTCAATTTTATTTTGTCAAGTTGGTTGCACTTCCCTTGTATAGAAGTCCTCTATTATGTTCACCGATATATTGGTAAATACTCTTGACGTGTCCCAGAATATGTGGGCAAACTCCCGGATTCATATAGAACACATAAAAATAACATGAGTTTTTATAAGTTTTTTCCTACAACCCCTTCTTTTCGGAGATATGGTCACATAATGGACACCACTGTAAATTTTTTTTTTAAACAATTTTGAGAGTCGACGGATAGTATAAGTCTCCGTAAAATAGACCATTTTAAATACATTTGGTCCCACCGTTGGCCGGGATTTTTTTATTTAATTTAATTATTTAAAATTAATTCTGATGCCTTGGTAGGATTCCCCATTCGACCATTCACTGTTGGGTTCTAATTAACAGTACTGTTCCTGAAGTGGCGCTGGGAAACAGTAACAGCGCCTACACAGAACACATATGATTGAGAATTTAAACACAAACTGAGACTGGCATATTAGGTTTATACACCTAGGCCATAAATCGAAAAAAAAAATACATTTGGCTTATTTAGTTTGCCAGGGACGGACTAGCTTTAACCCAATAATATTAATATTTTTTACACCCTGCATGATGAAGACACAACTATAATATTTTTGGAGAGCTAAACCCTTAAACTAAAAAAAATACTCTTCACTGATAAAAAAAAATCATTTAGGCAAACAAGAACTATACAAAATATCTTCTTCGTCAGAAGATGTCTCGTCAGATGAAAACGGCAAGGTTGTTTCTACACCCTTGCAGCAACACTGAATGAGAATTTTAAGCGCTGCACTGTGGACTCTGCACCATGGTACAGGGCGAGGCTCTGTTCTAGGCAATGGGCGGTGCGATGTGTGATGCAATGTACGGGGCGTTGTTATGGACATACACTTACACGACTAATTTTGCAATAGTGCATTTTGGTGCAATAGTTTTCTTTTTGCAAAAATATCATTGGGGTGCCAACTTCACCGACCTCGAATTTTATATAAAGAAGAATTTTAATTTGGACAATCAATATGTTTTTTTTTGCGATATCGTTCAGAATGAGCCACCGTTGGTGAATCATAAATATAATTATGTAGAGGGTTTTTATATTTTAAAGTGTATTAAAAATAAATCAGAAAGGAGAAACTGAAACAGTTAAAAAAGCAGTTAATTGGACAACAATCAATATTTTTAAGAACAGTTGACAAAAATAAGGCTGCAACTGAAGCATCGTACCGTGTATCCCAGATAATTGCACAAAAAAAAACCTTATGTAGACGGGGAAATGATAAAACAGGTGTTTTTAGAAGCTGCTGATTCGTTATTTGCCAACTTTAGAAATAAAGACGAGATAGTTTCAGCTATAAAATCTATGCAACTTTCTGCTAATACAGTGATGAGACGTGTAGAAGTAATGAGCAATGATATTTTTTTACAGTTAAGAACTGACTTAGATAACTGTGTTTATTTTTCACTTCAACTGGATGAATCAACAGATGTCGTTAACACTGCCCAGATGGCCGTGTTCGTCAGGATGGTTTTTAGTGATTTTACGATTAAAGAAGATATTTTGAAGTTTATTCCACTGAAAGGACACACTACTGGACAGGAGTTGTTTTCTGATTTAAAAAATATTATTTCTTCCGAGAAAATTCCAATATCGAAAATGATAGGCTTGACAACCGATGGCACTCCAGCTATGGTCGGTTGTGATAAGGGTCTGGTGGCGTTATGTCGTAAAGATGAAACTTTTCCGCAATTTCTCTGTTACCACTGCATTATCCATCAGCAAGCATTATGTGGAAATTTCCTGAAACTAAACAACGTTATGAAACTGGTGGTAAAAATTGTGAACAAGATTAGAGCTCAAGCGTTACAAAGAAGATTATTCAAAACCTTGGCCGATGAAGTTGACTGTCAATACGGGGACCTACTCCTTCACTCTAAAGTCCGATAGTTAAGTAGAGGACGGGTGCTGAAACGTTTTAATGATGTCCTATCTGGCATAGTTCAACTTTTCAAACAACGCGATGAACCGACTCCGGAACTAGAAAATTCAATCTGGCTTAGAGATTTTGGTTTTCTCGTGGACATTACAGAGAAATTGAACGAACTTAATTTGCAGCTTCAGGGGAGAGACAAAGAACTAGCGGAAATGATTTCTGATATAAAAGCATTTATCAAAAAGCTGGAGTTTTGGGAACAAAACCTAATTAACAGCGATGCCAAGCATTTTCCTATTCTTTCAGAAAAAATATCTCAAAATCCATTAGAACCCTATGACAGCAAATATCATGTAGAAATAGTTTCTACCCTGAAGAATAACTTCAAAAATCGTTTTAAGGATTTCAACGAAATGGCTTTAGTAGCGCAGTTTGTTGTTTCATCCTTTATGGAAATTGATATCCAACAGTTCTGTTTGCAACTTGTGTTATGCAGAACTTTGGCGAAGACATCACTGCAACAGAAATGGAAGTGATTGAGTTTCAAAATGATTTAGCCTTAAAATCGTTAGTCTCAAGTACCAAATGTACCTGGCCTATTGTAAGTAAAGACAAATATTCAGTTCTATGCCGTGTTGCCTTGAAAGTGAAAGCATTATTCAGTTCAACCTATTTGTGTGAATCTTCTTTTTCCAATATGAAGTTTATTAAGAACAAATATCGCAATCAAATTACAGATGAACATTTGGATAATTGTATTCGAATGGCTGTATCAAATTATACTGCAAACATTAAAAAAATTATCGATGAGTCTGAGTGTCAGCCTTCTCATTGAACGTGCTTTTTTATTTTTCAATTTTTATGTTCATGATAGTGCATTACTTTTTTGTTGTTATTATTAACTATTTTTCAATCTTACGTGACATGCCGTTGTGGCTGGATAAAAGTTTGTGTTTATTTTTCAAACACCTTCGTTTGGTAGGTAGGAATGTAGCTATGAACAAGTACGTACTTGTTTATTATTAATACCTATGTATTATGTATTACCAGTTAAATAATAAAATAAATACATATAATGATAAATTAACTGTGGATTATTTCATTTACGTTGCGTTACGTGGCTTCCGTGTGGGTAGCTCGCTGTTTATTCCAAAATTAACAAAGTAGCTCAACACATTGAGAGGTTGGCGACCACTGCATTAGGTGAATAGTATTAATGGTTTATTATTTAATTGTTTTCACTTAAATTGAAAGAGAGGGCGGTGTTCCATAACACTTTAGTGTCACAAAAAGTAAGCGATTTAGAAAAAAATAGAACCATTTTTGAATGTCGTAGAGACCAGTGTTGCCAGAATATATTTTTGTTATGTACCAGATTTGTTTGTGAAATGTACCAGTTTCCATAAAAATGAACCAGATTCCAGATTCTATAAATTGTACCATATTTTTCGAATTGTGATGGTTTGGTTCAGAAGACAAAAAAAGCTTTTATCGAAAACGAACACAAACAAGGAAGAACCTAACCATATATTATTTTACCCGTCAAATCGAAACGGGCTGAAAAAAGTAAAAGTACTAGATTTTGCTTCGAGTGTACTAGAGTACCAGATTCTTAAATAATGTACTAGATCTAGTACAATTGTACTAGACTTGCAACACTGTGCACAATGCCCTACTCACTACCGTGCAAGTAAGCTGCTGCATGTAAAGGCCACATATTACATTGTTTGAAATGTTGACTGTTAATTTTTTGTAACAGGAATGAGATTATGAAATCTTCCTCCAAAGTTAGTACCCCTGTGCTATATATTTTTGAAATTAGCTCTCAAGTAAATGTATAGCATTGAGCCTCGTTGCAAAATAATTCAAAAAAAAGTATCAAATTCAACCTTCATCAATTTCAAAACGCTGTTATGTCATTTTAATATCGCTTGGGCACAATACTTGTCGTATCACAAAATTAAAAACAATGTTTCTAATTCCAATAATTTAAGAAATTTTTAATTGAAATTAAATGTTTCAGTACTGAAGATTTCGCTGTTCAAAGCTCAGAAAGAATCGAACAGACAGCAATTCCTATATGTATGATTTATTGGGTTTTATTGCATGATGAGAAAAAAATGGGATACATCCTACTTGCTGATGATAAAGTAACCCTAGAATTATTAACCAGTTTCAGTAGTTAACATAATATTTTTTTATTTTAGCACAAGTTAAAGTTTTTATACCATGTTTCTAAAATTCCAAAATCAGTTATCCTCGCACCAGCATATGGATGTTTTAAATTTCAGTTGATTAAAAAAATGCAGGTAAATAAGACTCATTATAGTCTATATACAGGGCGGTACGTCATATAGATAAAATAATAAAAAATAATTTTTTGAAAACAACAATCGTCAACAAGATGTAGTTCCTAGCATACTATTAGAGGGTGTAAGCGATGTTACCAACGTTTTAATCATTCAGTAAACATAGTAAAAAAAGCATACATTGAACAATGCCGTCGAACCGTAGGGCGCATCTGGGGTCTCTCCCCCAGTGTCGTCCCATGGGCTTACAAGGACTTCACAAGACCTATGCTAACATACGGTGCAGTTGTCTGTGTACCGAAAAGCCAAAAATTGATAGCTATCCGCAAACTAGAACAAATTCAAAGAGCGCCATGTCTCAACACAACAGGAGCCATAAAAACCACACCAACCAGAGCTATGGAAGTCATTCTTAGTCCCACTCCCCTTATTAACATCAAGGAGGTTGATCTAATGATAATGAAACGCCTCTACACGGTTGGAATAGAACCTGATATACCTAGTATCTCGTGAGACTAAACGTTAGTTAGTGATGAGTTGTTATTTAAAAGTTCGTTATTTTATAACTGTTGTTTGCGCATAACAATTCCACGTAAATGACCGACAACTGACATTTATTATATTATTTACTCCAAACATTAGATGGGGCTACTGGTGAAATTGTTTCACATTTGTCCATCGTGAAACTTAAACAAAGAATCCAAAGATATTATGACGATGACGACGTGTATTTATGTTTTTGGTTGTTCTGATTTTTCGGACTGATTTTAGTAATTTTGTTGTTGGCTTTGGCTTCTGGTTTCTGTTTTTGGTTTCCTCTTAGTTATTTGCAAAATTGTGATGTTTTCAATGTTTTGTTTTTCTATTTTCTACTGTGTTTTGCCATTATTTTGGTGCTACGTTGAAAACTTCGAGAAAAACTTCATTGATTGACCATACATCATAAAAAGACAAACGGATACAACTAATTGATAATTAATTTATCGCTGGACTAGATCCCGAAATAATTTTTCACACAAGAGAGTATACCATCTGTATTTGGAAGGGTTATATATATTACTTTAGTGTTAATAAAATGTAATATCTTAGTCTCCACTTCATATTTAAATATATTGTACTCCTATTTGCTCCAAGTATTAGTTAAATGCATAGTTAAATATGTATTGGAGCTATTACACTGATATACAGGCTTAACCGATGTATCAAGCCACATAAAAAATAGGGCCAAAATCTGACCCTTGAGTTTTTCGTATTTATTTTGTTATCCATTTTTATGCGTTTCAGATAATTCCACATTGCGACTCAAAATACATGGCATTTTCTACAAATAGGCATTGCGGTATACATATTTTACCACCAGACGGAAATCCATATAAATATGTTGGATATTTAACACATCCTGTAAAGGTAGGTGAATTATTTAACTTATAATTAAGATGTTCTTTCTTATCTATTTTATTTCAAGAAGGAATTCCTAGAACATAAAAATTATCTGTGTCTATCCTTTGTGAATCGTTGTAGAGATTATTTAGTGCAGTCATTCCCAACCTGTGGGTCGCGACCCCAAAGTATATTCTAGGAGGTCAACACGTTATTTTAACTTGTAATTATTTTTCCAAAAATTTTACATGGAGGTTTATAACATTTATTGGTTAAATTCGGCCATCTATAAGATCAATGAATATAAGTTCTCGATTGCAAAATATTATATTCAATTGATATCTAAAAAGAGTTTATGTTTTGTAGTTAACTTGTAACCACTACAAACGGTGAATATAATATACGGAGATATACATGAGGAGTACAGTGAAAAACGTATGTAGGGTTTGTACAGAGCACCAGCTGGACTTTCAAACAAAAGTGAAAGAACCCCAAGCGATGGGGAATTTACTGCATGATTCATCCATATAATCTTGCCAGTAAGACTATTTCAAATAATGAATTATATTAATTATATGAGCCTCTAATACTTGTCTGTTTAAAGAACTTTGTAAAGGCATGGATTCTGATCATGAGACTCTTATTTTCTCTACTACTGTACTATGGAGTGTAGTGTATGCAGGGGCGGTTTCTCCATTGGTTCATTTGTGCAGTGAACACATAGTTAAATTTCATGAAAATACTTTATTTTAAAATAACATAAAATTATAAATTCAATTTTTAATATTTTCATGCATAGTAATCCCAATTTTTTGGTACGCCACTGCGCTCTGGTTGGTCGCGTTTCTGTCGGTTCACAATGCTGATTAAGCACCAGAGTGACCAGACGTTTCAGCAAATGCCTGTAGTTAAATAGAGAGGAAAACAGATCCGTGAAACTAGACAAAACGAACAATGTGACTGCTTAAAACCACGATATTTTGTGCATCGCACATTATCGAGGCGTGACATCAGAAAGTAGGGCACGGCTTACGAATCTTTCCAATTATTGATAGAGAATAAAGAAGAGATACCATGACAATACTAAAAGTGTCCGCACTTTTGCATTACACTTTTACGTCATATGTCAAACTCAAGCTAGTGGAGCTGTCAGTTTTGGTGAGATATTTAGTAAAATTGCGGGAATCACAGCAAATGTTCAGTTTATTTTATCCAGAGTTATTGCGAGACTCCATAAAGTGTTTTAATTACGAACTTATTTATTTATTCTAGTTGGAAGATTTTGTTTTATCAAAAGACGGCCAATTCATGTTTACATTTGGAGTTAATGATCACTGTGTTTTTAAATGGAGTATAGAGACCAAGTAAGTGCCAAGTACCTACTTAATTTAGTTGGTAATCGTAAGGTTCAAAAAACGTAGGTAAGCCACAATTGAAATAACCATATTATAACATTACGCGTTTGTCACGTAAGAGAAATTCCTCATTGAAAATAATAAGTAGCTATTATAACAAAATGTTCTCAGCCCAATCCCTTAAGAGACATTACCCCCGAAAATAGAATCATAAAATTTTGAAGATTACAGTCAATCGTAAATAGGCAATGAGGGATATTTTTTTAAGTTTTGTGTAAGTCATCCCGGGGCGCCACGGCAAATAATTCTAATAGCTTCCCTTTTCCGCATAAGCTTAGTCAGCTTAAGGCACTAAAATCCACTAAAGGGAATTATAGGGAGATTTTTATTAATATTATTACGTTATAAGGGGGTTAAATTAAAATCCCTTGTTTTATTTTATGTTGTATTAAAAATATCATTCATAATTTATATTTCATTTATTAACTTTTTGTCTCTTATTTCTTTCCATAGACCTAATAGTTTTTGAACAAAAATAAAACAATATTTTGAATTTTGAATCGGACGAGTTAGGGGAGATAGGGGTAAGATGGGGACGCTAAGTTTATTCTGAAAAGTATTTTTACAACGAACATCAATTTGGCATACAAATAATCAGCTTCACTTAAACTAGAAAACTGAAAAGAGCATCTATCTAAAATAGCAACAAATCCCATCTTCTTGGGGTAAGATGGGGATATAGCTTTATTTACAAACATCACATGTATAGCCAATTTCTGCAGGATCATCTTCGTCTACTCCTGCACAGGAATTGTGGGACCACTTGTGACATTCTTGACACGCAACCCATTCTTCGGTGGTCTCTGAATATTTGTCACCGCAGTAAAAACATTCTGTGTCATCTTTATCTCTGTTTAGAAGAACATCTTGTGCTTCCTTCGTCTTCTTTTGAATCTGTTTTTTTCTCACTCACTTTTTGTTTTTTTTTCACAATAGAGGGTCCTTTTTTGGCATCTTTTATAGGGCGTGGAGGTAATGATTGCCGTCTTGCCTCGACGGAATTTTTGTTTTCCAGCTTTAATGTCTACAGTAGGAACAGGTATTACCTGAGATGAGGTACATTATTCGAAGCTGCTGTTTAAATCATGGTAAACTTTTTTTTATAGGAGAAGACAAGCGATCAGTTTTGCACGGAGAGTCACAAGGTAGTGGAGTTTTTTCCAGCAGAGTTTTTTGTAGCGGACTGCGATGCGACATTGCAAGCATACTCAAAGGAAGATTTTTTCTCATCTTTATTTGAACTTTGGTATCTAGTAGAGGGAAGCTGATGAAAGCTGCTAGATAGAAAAACCTCATTCACTGACGTGTATGGCGGATGAAGCTGATGGGAGCTTGTAAACGGTATGTTGTTGTTAACTAGGTTCGGATGGGCGTGTTTAATGATTTCATGAGAGGTAGAAGCAAGAATTTCAGGATATTCAGTAACACATAGAGGATAAACTTTTTATTTTCGATAAGGTTTATGTCTCGGTTTATGTTTGTTGTTTCCGCAGAAGAAAATCGGCATCAGTGAAGTTCTCGAAATTAAATGGCCATATTCCACATTTGCGAAATCCGTTGATAGCTGTAGTCATAGTAGCAGCTTGTATAAAGGCTTTTCCGAAAATTTCGCTTATTTGAAACATACTGATAACTCTACCAGGATTTGACCTTAGCCTGAGCCAAGCTGTTGCTGCTTGGTCGTAGAATACGCTCAGGGTCTTTATAAAAGACAAGTCGAGTGGCTGAAGCCTATGCGTATAGCGTGGTGGGAAGCAAATTATAATAACACCGTTATCCATAGCAATGTCTATGAGTTCGATGTTCTTGGTATGTGTAACGTAACCATCGACTAAAAACAGCACCGAGTTGTCCTTGCTCGCCCCACTGAACTGGATGAAACTTCTGAACCATGTGACGAATAGTAGGAATGTGCACGAGCTTGATCGAGCAGGCTCGGTTCTTGCTTGTATTGCTCGAGCACGCTCGAGCGGAGCTCCGAACAGTCCGATGCCCGAGCGGCTCCTGTATAATATTCGGCTCGAGCGCCTCGCGTATCGGCTCGGCTCGAGGCTCGAACGATCCGAGTGTTCCGTACTCCGAATCATTCGATTTCTCGGTAATGAACTTATCATCGAGTAATTTTTCCATACCTAGTTGCATATTATTTAATAAAATTAATAAAACCTCGATCGTCCCTTAGTGTGACTCTGTAAAAGCAGTCTCGTCAGAGAGATCACGTGTACAAGGTGTGATAATGTTTTCGAGCACTCCATTGCTTAGATGGACCGAGTTTATGACTGGTTACTTATTCGAAATATCAAATAATTTTCATTTATTCGAATGAAAAAATCCTATATACTTACTGTAAACGTAAATGAAGTCAAAAACTTATTCTTATCACACTTATATTACGGGGATCGAAACACATTAATCACTTTTCACCACTAAATTTAATGTTGAATGATTTATTCAGAGTAAGGAACGCTCGGATCATAAGAGACTCGAGCCGCTAAAGCCGCTCGAGCCGTACCGGTACGCGAAGCGCTCGTATTGTTCGGAGCTGCATCGTAGCGTGCTCGAGCTGCAATTTTTCGAGCTTGATCGCGAGCGCTCGAACTTTACAAGCTCGTGCACATCCCTAACGGATAGGTATGTTATCATCCATCCTTTTTCATTGCAATAAGCAGTTGTACCGGGCGCCGAGTTATTCAATAATTCAGCTTTCATGCGTTTCCAAGGGAACAGTAGCATTGGTGGTATGTAGCTTCCTGCAGCTCTAACACAAATTTCGACGATAACTGTTTGTCCCCGTTCAGCTGAGGATAACGATCTCACTTGCTTCTTACCCTTCCGTGAAATAACCTTGGACTTTGTTTTCGAAACAAACGAGACACCCGTTTTATCGCAGTTAGATCCTCTCAGGTCCTAACTTATATTTATCTAGAGTATCACCCAGCAGTTCATAAAATTTTCCAACGGAGACTTTATTAAAGCCCAAAGCCCTGGCAGCTAAAGTCGCTTCGGGTTTTCGTATAGACAAGTCCTTATGGCGTCGAAGAAATCCTCGAAGCCAGTCGTTACCAGCGAGTTAGGCTGCTTTGTTGAATCTATGTTTTTTGCCATTTTTTACTGCTAGTTGGTAGGCTAAACTTCTTAACTCCATTGTTGTCAGTCCGAATAATCTTGCCTCAATGTCTTTTAAATATTTCACTAGTTCAGCTTCTTCATTTTCACTGAAAACTGTTGTTATTGGTCCTAATTGACCTTTAGATTTAATCGCATTTACGTGTCTTTCCAACGTTGTTTGTGGAACTGAAAATTGCATTGCAACTTTACGGTAAACCATTTCTTTGTTCAAAACTTTTTCAACAGCTTGTTTCATATTTTCTTTGGACCACTCTCCTCTCCGCGTCATTTTTTTATATTTGCGAACCATTCTGCTGAAAATAAAGACTTTTATAAATTAAGATGTACGCATTCATTATTAGGAAAAATCTGTTTGGGCAAGATGGGGCAGCGGCCATACATAATGTCCACCATTCCCATCTTGCCCCAAATGCAAAATTTGCATAAATGATTTTCTTACCTTTTCCAGGTGATAACTGAGGAATAAATCCGTTTACTAAAGATATCTGTATAGTGACACACTGTGAAAAATAATATTGAACTTTACGTCAATGTACTGTACACTATTTTATACTCGATTGTTTTGCCCCCAAAATTTGAGTACGCTACGTAAAATCGAAAAGCTGATCATGCGACCGAACCTTGCGCTTAACGGCTGCTCGACACATACCACATATATCCCCTGTAGTAGTACATCTCACTTATTAAAGAGATGGCACTAAGTGTGCAGCGCTAATAGCGACTGGCCGCTCTATATGGCAATACATTCAAATATAAATTTAATGCGAATTTTAAATTTCCCGCCAAAATAGTAAATTTCCAGCAGCGGAATGGCGGGAATGTTTAAATATATTTATTCGAAAATAATAATTGAGAAGTATATTGCATGTTGCATTAAACGAGCCTGTAAATTCAGGCGCTATTTTTATTTTGATAGCTAAAAATAATACGAATTTTTTTATTGTTAGCTATTACAATAAGAGCAGCGTTTAGATTAACAACACATTTAACACAACACAATTTTACCTGAATCACTTATTTTTTTACCTATAGAGGCTAGATGTGAAAAAAAAATTGGCTCTGGCATGAAAAAGAAAAATTGTAGGTATAAAACAATTTATTTGAAAAATTATAAAACTTATTTAATTTATTTTAAAGTTGAGGATAACTCTAGCCATATCTATTATACTGAAAAAAAAGAAACACTATATTAAATTAAATCATTCGTTAGTTATTAAGAGATGTTTGTGATAATACAGTGCTCGGCTATCGAATGTTTTACAATACGTTTTGCTAATGTCCAAGTGAAAACTACAATGAGTTAGCATTAGGGCGAGAAGGAATGGAATACTATGAACGTAGCCAGCCGGCTGCGTGGGGATATTCATATTACAGCACACAAGGCAACATTCATATTATTCGTTTTCTGATCGCACTAATCTAACTCTATAGTTTTCGCTTCGATGCTAGTAAAGCGTACTGGAATGTATTCAATAGCCGATACTGTATATAAATGCTAAAATCAGTAAGTGAAATAAAAATTTGTAGTTTAAATGGACACCTACTTCAAAAAAGAAAAACTGAAACAGAAAATTATTATACTTGAATTTTAAAGGCTGGAAAACTATTATCTAGGTCTTGGATGACAGCCATAGGACTTCCTCCTTGAATCGTGTCCATAGGAAAGCATAAGATCTTAGTAAAATTATTACAAGCTTACGTCAAAATTGGCACCTACATTAAAAGAAGGGAAAACTGAAGCAGAAAATTTTTATACTTAAATTTTAAAGATATTACCTAGGGGGGAATCCTTGGATGGCAGCCATAGGAATCCCTTCTTGAATCCTCTTTTTCTGAGTTTGTTGTTCATTTTGCTTTGCATATTAAATAAGTAAGCACTTAATACAACGACACAAATCACAATAAATATCGCTGAAACAAAATTAATATTAATAAATGGTATAAATTTCGTATTAGAAAACATCAAAAAATTATCACTTGTCAATACTGACACATCACGCTTCGCTTGTCAAAAACTTCGTCTTTAACCAATGAACGTGCCGATGTCAGACGTGAAAAAATTCAAAACGATACTAGCGCCATGAGGCTCTGCGCCTGGCCGCAGCGTAACTCACTCATTTCTTGAATCCCAGTGACATTACTACAGGGGATATATTGTGAATTGTGACACATACTGAGCGGTGGCTTAGTCTGCTGTTGCCAAGGTCATACAATAAAGCTTTCACACACGTCAGGTTTTGAAGTAAATGTGGTACCCCATCTTGCCTCCTAACCCCGTCTTACCACTATCTCCTCTATTTCTTAACGGGTTGTTGAGAAAATTGAGAGGACCGACTTCAGTCATTTTTGACATGAATTTACTCTATATTTGAGAGTAAATTTTAAAAATGAAAAAATATATTGCTGTTGAGTGGTTCTAAAAAGAGCCGATCTCAGAATTCTACTTAAGTAAAAAACTTTTAAAGTTTTTTATAAAAAACTATTGAATCGAATAATGTTAACTTTAAGGAACATATAACATTAATCGATTCAATAGTTTTCAAAAAAACTTTAAACGCTTTTTGCTTAAATTATAGAATTCTGAGATTACCCCTTTCAGAACCAAGCCACAGATTTATAATCTGTAAAATCTGTAGGGTAAAGTACCTCACATCATTTAGTCCTCTATTTACTCATTGTGCATCCTCTAGGAGCATATAGTCCTCTATGGACTTGCATTCTCTAGGAACATATAGTGACTGCCTCTCAGCTTATCAAAAAGTCTGCTAATTGATAACCTCAACGATAGGTGTCTTTATAGATCCCCCTTTACGACATGCACATGCGCGATGTTATTTAACAGTAAGTGGCCATTTGGTGGGCTCTTACCACCATGATGGTAAATGCTCGAACCACAGAGCATACATTTATATTTATTTTTTGATTAACATTTTTAAAGGTCAGTGGAGAATATGAAACATTTGGGCGGTAAAGAATTAGAACCATTTTATTGTCTTATCGAAGGTGGCTATCATGGATGGTTATTCCACGAAATAAAAGACTTGTTTTATTATATGCAAATATTACAACAAGAAAATATCGATTTGCCCAGAAGAGTTTCCGACACTATAAACATAAGTGAAATACCGGACCTATTTAGAACTATTGGCTTTTATCCGTCTGATTTTGAGGTAAATTTTTCCTAATAGAGTATTTAAAAATAAACCAACGTAAAATGTCTATAGACAATATAAAAAAACTATTTGAATTTTCAATTGAATTAATGTTCCATTTGAAAACACAATATCTGCCAAGTTCATTTTTAAAAAGATAATTCTTCTTGACGCAGTAAAATACATAGGTTAGTCCTATAGACGTAGGCGCCGACTACAGAGAGGCCAAGGGCTAAGACACCCTTGAAAATATTCCCGTGCAAAATTACAAAATTTGACTTAGGAGGGAGGTGAGGTCTTTTTTTTTAACCGGCGTCATGATACGACCCCCCGGTGATTAACAAAAATCGGAGCCTATGTCTATAGTACAAAACACTTCAACAATACAACGAATAATTTACATAGTACTCGTATACAGGGTGTTTCAGATTTAAACGGACACAGCTTTAGTGGGAGGTAGAATACACTTAGCTGAGTTCAAAACACTTCCATACTTAGCCTTTAATCTCACTCGTTTCTGAGATATAGAGTGTTATATGATTTTTTACCAAAACTAAAGTCGGCCATTTTGTTTGAACGGCTAGAGATATTTTGATTAAATTTTGTACAAAAGTTACACTCTCTTAGATTAATCAAAGCCATAATTTATTTTTAAAAAATTTCAGGACCGGACTCTTTTTTTATATTGCTTTTCTTAGCCAGAATCTCTTTCTCATCAACCTGAGTTAGCAACCTGGAATATACTAATTTTTTTAATTTTAGTTGGAGAATATAATGATAGACGTCAAATTTCGAAACATGGACGAAACGAATAAAACCAACGAAGACATCTCCTTTACCGAATTCGTAAAGTTGTATTGCAACCATAAACCCGTGTATGGTTATTCCCTTAAGGACCTGAAAGATGTCTTCACCACAATACTTCAAACTCAGGAACGTCAACAAGCTACCTGTATTGAGAGACAAAAATTTGTGGAACTTTTAACAACTCAAGGTACAAAAAGTTTAAATTTTATAATGTTATTACTTTTCAGTAACCAATAAGGAAATTATAGGCACAGCTTATTGAATAACAGCTACTTATCTTTAAGCGGCATCTTATGTACTTCAAGTGAAATGGTTTTAGATCTACATTCGCATGTTATGCAATAAAAACAGTAGGGACTAGGATCAGCGCCTACCATTCAGTGTCTACCAATAAATGTGACAACTAATGTACAAGAGCGACCAATAAATAATATAGCTAATGCTTCCATTGGCCAGCCAATAAATACGACAAATAACTAATCTACTTCAGGATGTCGGTAGGACAACCCGCCAGATTAATGTCACTACATGCGGAACGATGTGACTTCGTCAGAGGTCAAAAGGTGACTCGGACGGAGAAACGATAGTTGTTTTGGAGGCATCTTGCTGCTTGAACCGTTCGATAGCGGCTCGAAGACGTATTGCACTTTGGTCACGAAATATGTTTTTTATGGGTAAGACAGAGGAAGGTTGTTGCTAGCAATATACTGGAATATTCTTGTCTGTTAGTAGGCGGACTTTTATTGTATTAAGGCGTTGTGTTGAAGCGAGAGAGCAGTTGCTAGGGATGGAAGATGCGAGTTCTCTAAATGTGTGGACTTTGAACGTAGGTATTTTCCTGCTACTAGGGCCGGTCTGGGAATGCTATGTATAAATTGTTTTTCGGAACGTTCCTTTTCGTGCTTAAAACGAACAATTTAGGAGTTTTATCAATTAAATCTGACACTGCGATTTCGATTTTATTTGACGACGTAAATAAAATTTTCCTTGAGAATAAACCCAGACGAAAAGTGTAATGCGAGCGAAAGGAAAGGCGATTTTGATTTAGTTGAATATCTATAATATATAAATATGTAATAACATATGACTTTTTATATTCTGCTAGAGAGAAATTTTTGTTACATAACTGATTCTGATAAATTTTTGCATAATTTTCGTATTCCTTATTTTAGCACCTATTTTTAGTTTTGCAAGCATAGGCGGCGATTTGGTTTAGCCTATAGGTGGCACATTTGTAAATCCGTCCCTGGATTTAAGTATTCATGTCTTTTCACTATGTAAAATTGTTGTGAGCTAAAGAAATTTTATAGTATAAATTTATTTATTTCATCAAAATCTAACAAGAATTTAGCAGTTTATTTAGACACATCATGCGATTCTACTAAATACATTGCTACAGTCCATTGCACCAGCTGATGGGAAGACAACCCTTCTTTCTGCGAAGGCGATTAAGAGGATATTCAAAGTCGCAGAGTTCAAAGTTACTTTTATTTAGTGTTTATATTTAAGATTAGTGTTCTAATTCCTAGTATTTACAAACATGTGTTTATTTTCAAATATACAACTTGGCCACCCTGCCGTTGTGTAGACTTTCTAAAAAAGGTTTTTATGAGCTTGGGTACGAGCAGTGGTTTATTTGTAATAATATAGTCATTCAAGATACATTTTAAAAGCAACACCAACAATAAAGTTATATTTCCAATACTTTTTTATTATCTCGAACTGGCCTTAAATAAAAGAAAACAGGGTCAAATCCCTAACAAGTAGTCCTTCGCAGCCGAATAAATAATTGAAATGCGGTCTCAATTATAAACTTTATTAAAATCGAGAAATTCAGTGTCTCGATAAGTACATATGTTCTTTTTGTGTGCGTAATTCAGTTTCGAAAGTGTTGGAATTATCGCCGAACGCCATCCAAAGGTTAACTGAATTCGTATTCGACTGTGGTTCCTGTTTTATAGAAAAACAAAATAGTTGTTCGTCCAGTCTACAAAAAGTGAGTTTGTTCCTTTTCTTACATACCTTAAATTTATTTACCTTTATTTTCCTTGCGAATTCTGTTGACTTCAAGCTGATTAGAATTGTTTTCAAATTTAGATAACTAATAATAATTATTTGCACACTTTCATTCGGTTTTTATTCAGTTTCGTTATTCAATTATCAACTTTTTTCATTCACAATGTCTGAAACCGACAATATTGAGATCACAAAATTGCGCAAACTTCGAAAACCAATTAAATCTCGCCTCACTCTTCGCTAAATATGTTGATAAGGTTTCTACAGAAGTGAGTGAGGAAAGTAGTTCACTTACATTTACTGAGTTACAAACCCGATATTAGATCGAGCTGAGCTTATTCTTGCTCAATTTGAAGAAAATCAGGCCCAAATTGAGGTATTGATGGATGATGATGATGATAACGGACGCAGAACTAGATAACAGGTCTACCTTTTAAGACACATTCTATTCAAGCATTTCCAATGCCAACAATAAATTTACCAAAATTCAATGGAAACTTTAAAAATTAGCTGGATTTTCTATTCAGGTGGAAAGTATGCTTAATTCGCGACCTCTAAGTCCTTTGTTATTTGATCCTCCGATCTTTTCCCATTCACCCCTTCTCACTTTTTAATTGGAAGATCTACGAGTAGAGTACCAGATCCAGATTTATAAAGAATTAGCGTCAACCTGCTTTAAAATTCGAGCATTCCCAAATGTTACGCCAACATTTCTGGCATCGATGGTCCATTGGAGTACGCCTCTGAACTCCAACAAAGATAGAAAATCCAAATTGGTACGCTAGTTCTTATCAAGGACCGAGACTTATCACCTCTCAACAGGCTTCTCGGGAGGATAGAAACACTTCATCCAAGAGCTGATGGAGTCACTCGGGTCGTTACTTTAGGATCTACTATGGGGCAGTTAGGAACATTTCCCGCTTCCATGCGAGAATAATGGCGTTTTCTTAAATATTTTTATTTTATTTTTAGTGCATCAAACGTTTTCACTTAGTGCATCAAACAATTTTGCGCGTTTATGACCGTGAAACAGTACCGTCATCCGGGTTGAAATCGGACGATTTTGGAGTATTTTTGCAAATAGCATCTACAGTTTTTATTTAAAAAATGTGAAAAAATTAAATTAAATACTTGTATACTTTATCTTGTCATTCCATAAAAAAATATGTACATATCTTAATATTTTTTGTTTTTCATATGTAATATAGTGTCCAAATTCACCCTCTGTCTGGGGTGATTTTGGACGCTCATTGTTTGTAGCTAAAAATCAAATTATAGAATGCATGATGTGTATTTGGATACAAATAATAAAAAAAAATATCCTGTAACATCTGTAAATGGAGAAGGTCAAATTTTGGGATGGGTTATTAGAAAAACACAATATTTAAGAAACGTTCGACATTTTATTCAAAAACAATAAACAAAATTCATTTTCTACCTACTAAAAAATAACAAATTAAAAAAATAAACACATTCTTTAATAAAAATATGAAAAAAACTGAACAAATCTTTGGGTGTGAGTATTGCATATTTTCTATAAACTAAGAAGTGTTTATGTTATCTGGAAATATAAACTGATATCGGCCACATGAAACTTTTACATATCGGAGAAGAAGAATTAATTGGTGCCTTTCAATTGCACTTTCATCGTTAATTTGGGCATAAGAATAATAATATCCCATCTTGGGAGAATCGTGATTTCTTAGGAAATGAACCATATATGTATCAGGATCAATCACTTCCTTGACACAGGCGACATAGTTTTTTGTTAACTTTTTGTTGGTCAATTTAAGTGTCAGGTGTTATACCTGCGTTTTCTGGGCTGTTAAATGAATCGACTTTCTCATTATTTTCGTTTTGTATGGTACCTGCACCCTGCACCGTTAACCTCACATTCTTCTTTGTCGTGATTCTCAATTTCTTCTTCGTCGTTGTGATTCTCAATTTCTTCATCTGTTGCTTCGTGATCATCATTTGAGATGTCTAACTCAGATGGCAAAGCAGAGTTCTGTCTATTGGAACATTTTACAGCTTTCCCCGGAGCATTATTGAGTTTCCTTCCCCTTCTACGCCTGGGCTCTTCAGCAAATCGCTTATCATTTAGTAAGCCAACAAACGTTGGGACCATTCACCAGCAACTTCAGCCTCATCTCTTGATATTGGAATTTTTCTTAATACAACCTTTGGATCCAGTGGGAAAATCCCACATGCTCGAAATCCCGACTTGATAGTCTGCTGGCGCCATTTTATCTAAAGTTTTCTTAAAAATTCTGGGAAGCTTTGATTTTGGAATAACTCCCATATTGTTTATTTTCCATTTTATTAAAGTTGTTAGCGAATTTTTCTTCAAATGAGCGAAAATGCAACGTCTAGGGGTTGTACAATGTGCGTGGAATTGGGTGAAAACAAAAAGAATCTTATATTGTATCTTTCCTGGAGGACATGTAGTGAAACATGGCTTGAGATATTGTCTCCTATAATTACTTTTGGTCCTTCGAGATTTTTAAATACGGCAATGCAATCTTATCAAAACCAGTCTTCAAAAGTCCGTCCGTCGAACCAATTACTTTTTGTACCGTTATAGAAAGCACCTTCTACTCCTTCCACCCATGACGGATATAGGTGTGTTGCCTTATACACGGTATAAGGCGGTAGTAGTTGGTCAGATGCAGAAATGGCCATAATAATAGAAATGCTGCTTTTACTCGAATCCATTATTCTCTCAGCTCGTTTTGTCCCTTTTCGACACAAGACCTTAACACGACCTGGGTCATCGCTTATGTTTGTTTCGTCATAATTCACAATGTTTGTATCTGGCGCTCCATCTAACGTCTCCCTCAAATTTGAAAAATATTCCACAATAATTTCTCTACTTATGACTGCCCTGGCACGCTTAATGTTTTGTGCCAGTCGCTCAGTCAGACGATCATTTCTTTCCAAAAACCGATAAAACCAATCATCACCTGGCACATTATCCTGGAATTTTGGTATCCTGATTCCTTTGCGATCCAAATAGTTCTTGATGAGACTTTTTATATCGGATAGTGTAAGTAGAAAGCCCCATTCATCAAATTTCTGGATCCCCTCTGACAACAATCTTTCATCTTCTGCCGATAGGGCGGTCTATCCACCTTGTTTTTTACTGTGCATGTTTCTTAGCTTGTCGCTAAT